GACGGGACAAGATGCCTAGCCAACGGGACACGAACTTGCCGACAAGACACGATGCGGATCCGAGAGGACGAGGGTCTCTCGTCCGTGACACCTCTCTGAGTCCACCTGTCTGCCCCCTGCCACGAGGCGGTCCTTTATAAACCTTTCTCCCACCTTCTTGCTTGAGCAGATGTCACGTTTTCTGGGAAGGGGATCTCAAGCCGACCACCAGCCGACTTGCAGGAAATGCCTCGCCCACTGATGGTCATGCTCGTGTACATGTATACATTAGGCCATGTTGATTTGATTATATGGATGACATCCTCCGGGAACCCCAAAATTGATGCGCGCGTGCGAATAAAAAAAAGTTTTGCAAAAAAAAAGTTGTTTTCATTATGAAATCTACGTGGTCATGAGGGTTGAACAAATGGGACAATATGGTTTGGCGAATAATCTAGTCTTCAAGTTCATTTCTTTACAACTTCGTCTTTTTTCGTTTGATTTTGGCATTCTACGACATTGGTATGGTTTTTTTGTAACTTACGGTATATTTTTGCTCATTTTGCAACTGTTTTGTACAATTTACAGTATGGTTGAAAACTTTTTTTTTTTTTGAAACGGCCGAAAATTCATGCGCGCGCGGATGTCATCCATATAATCAAATCAACATGGCCTTAGTCGGACAGGGGTGACTCCACAGGGCCGTGAGAATAGGGTAGGCCGGGTCATGTTGACGACAGTCGATCGCACAGGTATGTGACGTCATCGCACATGCGCGCCTGGTCCGGCAGTGACTCAGGGTTGGGGTTTTTTTCTCACCTAAGATCACGTGTACTGGGGGACAGTGCATCTGGGGACAGGTGCGCCGAGTGTTTCATCTTTCAGCGATCAGTGTTAAGTAAAGGTCACACGCAACTGTTACAGTAAACAGTCACTGTCATATTGTTTTGGCATTCCCGATTCGGTCGTGTTCATCCACACAACAAAAGAGCAGTCAGATGTCAGTGTGGGTCAGGTGCAGGAGGTTATTGAGACATTGCCCGAATCAATTCAACCGTCCAAAAATCCTATTCAAGTCTGAAGTGGGCGAGGCGACGAATCTCTAAGCAGATCTCTTGGTGGCTACAATACTGTATCAAATTGACAAGACAGTATAATATTTCAGACATCCCGGTAATAAGACACGTCAAAAAGCAGTTACTCAAGCAACTGAATAATATTTAGGAAACGGTCAGACGTTTCAGGTAGTATCCACTACCTTTCGTCAGTAACTGAGAGACCAGAGGAGAAATGCAGGTTTATAAGCACAACCTATTGATTGATTATGCAATGTAGTGAAGACAATTGTTTTGAAAGTCCAAAAGGATACAAAAGTTAAACAAGTCGAGACAAAAATCATATCCAGTTGATTCCAAAATCATATCCAGTTGCTTGAGTAAACTGCTTTTTGGCGTAAAGCAGATAGTGACCCAAATTGGAGATCTTGAAAGCAGTTCTGAACCCAAAACCACAACCAAGACTAGAACAGACGAGAGGTAGGTAAAAAAACCTAAGTAGTAGCCATACTCTCACAGAACCCGGGCTTTTGGCGGGAATGCGCGAGTTGGCCTGTTGCCTGGTTCATTTTAATCATACTGCAGTGTGGTTCACTTAGCAGAGGTCATTATTAGAGGTTATTTTTAGCAGAATGTGCCTGTTCATTAGATTTTTTTCGATTTTAATAGATTATTCTTGTCTATAAGATTTTTTTTCTGTACTGGGTGGATGTTTTGCAAGGTGATCACTGAACCGACTAACGGAACGCCTGTCCATAGCAATTTGCAACCCACTTTGTATTTTACATCACGAGACACATTTTAACGTCATATGGTAAACCCAAGACAAGGACTGCGAAGGATGGCAGTAGATACACATCTGGCACGGACTTTTTTTTGTATTCTAACATATAATCACAAGACGTGGTGACGGCACACTCAAGTTTTTTCAACCTATATTAATGCCACCACCAACTTAGGGGACATATGCAATACTCATTTTCACCTGGGCGAAGAGAGGAAAGTCGTGTAAAGTGCCTTTCCCAAGGACACAAAGTCGGTGGCATGTAAGGACTCGAACCCGGGACCTCTAGGTTCCGAGTTGAGCACTCTGCCGCTCCGCCACACGACCCCACGACGTTTGGCACGGACGTTTGTTTACTAGTAAACCCAGATGAAGTTACACATGCACTTGCTTCACTCATTTAGATAATATCAGGAGAGTCGTAATAAAGAAGCTCTTTCATCCTTCTTCTCTATTGTTTCCACAACAAGAACCGCGCCATTTTAAATCAGACAAGACATGCATCAATAACGGAATGCGCCGCATAACATCACACTTGTTTAATGATGTTCACCTTCACTTAACTTTCAAATACCCCAAGTATGAAATTCCAGGCAGTTAGCATTATGGAATTATAACATTTTCTCATTAATTATGCAAATTAGGTGTTAATTTACATAATCAATATCTGCCTGTGTTTCTCTTGTTCTCAATTACATGAAAATCAGATATAATTTTTTTTATAAATGGTAGAAACGGAGTTTTCTGCACTGTATTGAGAGACAACTTTGTGGGTGACAATTACCTAAAATTTCAGAAAAAAATCTTTAGAAACAAAAAAGATATTACAGAATATATAGTGCTGGGGTCCGCTCGGACCCCAGGTGTACTGTTTAGGGTTAATATAAGACTCTCACTGATGGAGATCAATTGATAAAATTAATTTAAATGAGGATCTTTTTGAAAAAAACAATGAGAAACATTGATAATTCGATCTAAACGTTAACATCATTTTGCGAAGGTATGAGATCGTGGATCTCGAGCTTGTTTTAGTAGGTAAGGCCACAGTAAGTACATTTTATGGATGACATCCTTTCGCAGATTCCAAATCTAATGCGAGCGGGCGAGAAGGTGGACCGAAAAAACAAGGTGCCTACATTTTCAAATTTTTACTCAATCATTGTACAAATGGTTTTGATTCAGTGGGAACATCACATATACACAGCCAACATCACATATCACTGCATCAAAGTTAGAAACAAAACGTTAAATCAGAGTCTTTTCTTGTCTCCACTATTCATAATTATCTGCCATCGACGTTCCGGCATGGCAACAGACATCTTTGCCCATTTTCGGCATGTTAACCACTGTCAGAAGGCAACAAAATTTCTTACTGTAAAAAAAATAAATGCGCGCTGATGTTATCGATAAAAATTACTTGCTGTGGCCTAATACAACTTTGCCTTCGCCGAGAGCAAATCTATGACAGAACACTATGAATTACATTTAATTTAGTTTATGTTTGCAACTGTTGAAATATTGCAAAACAGACCATCGAAACCGGTAGGAGCCAGTTTAATGGACAATCTTAGAGAATAAGTCATTGGATTATTGTAATAAGCAGACGCCAATACAACATGAAATTCTGGGACCTCACATGTCAACTGCAGAATCATGTTACAGGGTATCATGAAGCTATTCCATGACGCACTTGATTAAATCAAACTACGAGTAACATACAATAACATTTCAAATACTTTGAAGTAGTGTTTGATACGATCACTATTATTCATGGACATGTTTAATATTGGTATGTACAAGAAATATGTGGACTGGGATACAAGGTACTTGCCGGAGTTTTCTGTATATTTAAGGCCACACCAATTTAATTTCTTGGTTAACGGACTTTTCTAGAAAAATAATGGAGCGGGCGGGCGAAAAAATTAAAAAAATAAAAACATGCCTAGGCATCCTATTATGGCCGAAAATGGTACGATATGAGCCATGAAGTCAACACACCAGGCTGTTTCAAAATTTAAACAATGAATTTTGAACTTTTAATGATACCATTGCATTGAAAGATGGAATAACTGTAACAACTAGGGAAAAAAGGACTGTTTTCAACTGTTCAGGGCAAAATATGAGCATTTTGAAGTTGATTCTGATTTTTTTTGCGAATCAGAAACAAATGAAGCGGGCGAATCCGTTAAAGTAACCAAGAAATTAAATTGGTGTGGCCTAACGTGGAAATAATCCTCAACTTCACTCAGTTTTATTGAATGAGTTGAACGGGGAGGTGAGGGTGACAGTCCGGCACAGCGGCCCTCGGTGAGCGAAGCGGGAAGTGCGGAAAGTCGCCGTTGGTAGCTCCCTGAAAAACACGTGCGTCGTCAAATGTAGACATTGCTGACCAGCACGTCGGCAGAACGTACTGCGCCTGCGCAGAACCCTGCATTTTCATGATGGATTTTTGGTCAATGTTGCATCAGAATTTTGCCTGTTGCAGACGAAATCTTTTCCTACATAACATATGGAAACTACAGACGGAGTGTTAACCTTATATGCGCTAGTACGACCTTATATGGGACGTTCTGTCGAAGTGCTATGTACAATACATTACGGGTTTCGCGCAGGTGCAGTATGTTCTGCCGACGTGCTTTGCTGACCACATGTCTACATAGGATGGTTTCTATTATATAGTACGGGTGAAGTATATTGTTAGGCCTATGGAACACTTGTGACATATGTAATTGAGAACAACAAGAACATTGGCAGGTATTGATTATGTAAATGTAGACCTAATTTGCATAATTAATGTCAAATTGCTACAATTTTATAGTGGTAACTGCTGGGAATACTTAGTTCAGTGAAGATGAACATTACTGAGCATAATTTATTCAAATCAGGACCTCATTTGCATAATTTATGAGGAAAGCTAGAATAGCCTATTTTATAAAATAATCCTATCATTTGGTGGAGAATATGATTAACTGATATTGTATAAATGTGTATGTAAATGAGCTCGTATAATTTGCATAAATTGCAAAACATGTATAATAACTCAGTTTGGACGGTTAACATTACTTGGCAAAGGTATGTCTACCTATGGCATGTCTACCTAAAGGTATGTAAGAGGTCGTCATATAACCAACAATATCTTACCTCTTCCATACTAAATAATAAGGATTTCACCTAAGGATTACCTGTACGTAGTACGCATGCTTGTGGCAAATGGTGACTCGGGGTCATGTATGACGTCCACGTTGACCTCGGCCGTCTCTCGGGGGACGAAGCCGGCGTACCCGGGACAGGGCCGGAGTCTGGGGACGGCGTAGTCAGGACAGCCGCGCACACTGAGACGAACCAGCAAAAAACATGTGTCTCAAAATGCATCCTTACACCATACATGGTTGAACACCATTTTGTAGTAATGTAGTTTATATATACAACAACTAGAAAGGCAGAAGGGTTTGCGGAAAAACCTGTCCACCTTTCAGGCCAGGCTACAATAAGTCATGCAAAACAGAGTAGATAGCGCAAAATTCCTTCATGAATATCGTGATTTCTTTACGCAATATCTAAACAGTAATAGGCATGGTCAAGATTCGAACATTCTCAATGTCGTTACAAAATTCAAATTCAAACACACCGGACACTTTCCAACAGTTTAACTGTCCATGGTTGACAATCTTACGTCATGATGACGTCAGTGAAAAACATCAAATAGTAGATTTTCATTGACGTCATATTTATACTAATTATGAATCTCACTAGCTATCTAGTGTTGGTGGCTAATTTGTGGGGCAGCAAAGTAGCAGCACGTTGGCATGTTTAACAGACATACAGAGTAATCAAACATATAGATCACAAATGCGCCATTTTGATTCCGCCATTTTGAATTTTCTCAGGTACAAGCAGGACACAGTGTATGATGGCGGCGGTACGGTGGGGCAGATCGTCATGGCTGACGTCAACGGGGACGGCATACAGGAACGGGGAAGTCTTCGTCCCGGCTTACAACGATAACAAGAATTCGGAGATCTCATACCTCCATGAAATATATGAGTTTTTGCAAATGTTTTTACACAGTATATTACAGTACAGAACAAAATAACACAGGCTTTTGTTTTCAAACACACAGATACTTAGTGGCACATTTGGCCTGAAATATGTAGGTGCGCTGACCGCTGGTGTTTTGTTGCATAACCGGCACATCTGTTTTCCCTGAATTACAAAACCGGAAGCTCTGCTGCAGTACCAAGGTTAGCTACCAGGGGGCCCATATTTGACCTTGACCTTTGGCTTCCTAAGACCTACCAGCATACCAAATATCATCACAATCCATGAAGGCGTTCTGAAGTTGTGCTGACTACAAACAATACCTCCATTTTTCATGGAGTTAACAAAATCCTTGTGTACCTTGTCACCGTCAGACTAATACATTCTACCAAGTTTTTGTCAACTTGTTGTTTTCTTACTTGTAAATCTGTTGCGTATATTCACCCAGCGACAAGCGTCTTTGATAGGGTAGCTGCTATGAAAATTCATATTTGGATCAAAGACTTTCCTAGCTACCGATTATGTTGTGTTTCCGTCATACACAGACTAATAAGTTGCAATATGGCAAAGCAAGCGGCTTGTAAAATCTTTAGCCTCCTAAAAATGCTTCTGTTCTTTCCCGACGCCGTTGTTATGGCCATTCTCATTGGCTGGTTCTTGCTGAGCATAACAGAGACTTACCAATCAAAACGCGTGACAGGTTGCGTGATCGGCTGGGATCAGAGCGCTGTTGCGCACCCTGGAGGGAACACGGCTGCTTTCTGTGCTGTAAAGGTAACACTTTTTACAAAACCATCTTGTAATGTGGTAATATAGCCTTCTGTTGTAGCTCATTGCTATCAATAGTATGGTGTGTTAACCTTCTATAATGGCGATAAAGCTGATGGCAAAAGTCTCTTTGTTGCTGCTTATGCAGCTGCTAGTGCCATGTGTGTACGCAGGTAGCTGGCAGAGCTGCCATGAAGTGTCCGTGGCAAAGTGTGGTGTAGGCGACAGCCGTAGCGGTGGCCATGAGTACCGGTACGACATTGGACCGTACCGGTACAAGTGGACCAAGTACCCACACGAAGCATCAAGCTACAATGGGCCCTTTAAAACAGTTGCTTTGAGTCAGGTGTTCCAGTCCTGTCAGGTCTGCTCTAACGAAACAAGGCCTACCCAGGGGGGTCCCACTCTGAACCCCTCGCTGCAGTCGAGAACCAACATCATGATCGTTGACAACAACGTCGGCACGCTTGGCACTGACAAGGCAGAGATCCTCTCTCAGATCCCATGTGGTAGAAGGTGCAGGTTGTGGTTTGTGGGTTGTAACCTAACGACAATAGAGGTAGGGGCGTTTGCTAAGTTGCCACAGGTATCTACCCTGGTCATCTGGCGGAGCAATGTCCAGACTCTGAAGAACGGCACGTTTGCTGGGATGGAGGGCCTCGAGTATCTGCTGATGTTGGAGAACAACCTGACACATCTGGAGGTAACGAGGTTTAACAAATAACACACATTGACATCCCGTTTGTTATTGACTCATCTCGAAGTAGATATTTTAACGATAAGGCAGATAAGTGTCATAATATGATTCTTTTTGTGTTGTGTTGTAAAATTGTCGTATAAATGAAGTTTATGTTCAACAATATGCAATGCTTCAAATCGAACTCCATCGTTCTTAATTCTGCAAATGTTTGCTACAGGATGGCTGCTTCCATGGGCTGCCCAGGTTGTCCTACCTCGTCCTGGTGGACAACCAAATCCTGACGCTGACGCCTGGCACGTTCCTGGGGTTGGAGCCGCGCTGGTTTGACGTAAGTGCCAATCACATCACTAACGTAGCACCGGGGACCCTGCAGGCGATCAAGCCCGTAGAATATGTCCGCTTTGCGCAGAACAAACTGCGCTCAATCGACGCGGCGATGTTCCACGGGCTTGAGCGGCTGGGGGTCCTGAACTTGGAGGGTAACAAAATCTCCCACATTGCTTACGGCGCGTTCCACGCAAACACGAAACTGCATGCCCTAAACCTTGCAGATAACAGGCTGACCTTCCTGCCTGGTGGTTGGTTCAAATCATCATTTCCAAGCGATCTCGTCGTGTATGGAAATGGTGTTGCCGCCATTGCGCTGGAAGGTAGGGGGTTGTTTCACAAAAAAATCTGCATGAGCAATCGCCCGCGCTGTACGTGTGCCAATGATTGGCTGTACGAAAACGGGGGCGGGACCAACCCGAAGTACAAGCAGCGCTATAGACGTGTCATAAGGGCAGCAAGCTGTCCCGCCTTGGCACTGATGCGAAACCTCTCCGGGCCAGTCGACTATCCCAGCGACACACTACCCTGCCCACCACCGCTAGTGGAGATCGTTACAGCCGAACGCATTGCCGATCACAAGTACAGGGCCGTGGGCAGGGTGTACTGGGAGCAGTTGCCCCAAGTGTCCTGGACCTTCCCTCCAAACGACTCACGACACTCGCTCGACATGACGTACGACAAAGACACGACCACACACGACAGTCTCGCGACTGGTAACCTAACCGTGAGAGTGGTGACCGACCTAAAGGCTGAGGGTTGGGTGAAATGTAAGGGACCAGAAAAACTGTTTGGGGAAACAGGAAATCACAGCCTGTGTTCTAACTACATGGGGAGGTCCAGCTTCACCCTTTGGCTTGAGACCGCCGAGCCCTTGTCCTTTGGGAACACCACTTGTACGGCTTCTTCGGAAACTGGCTCCGACACTGCCGTCTTCGCGGCGAGCGCGCGCGCACACTCTGACACGACAACACTACAAGCGACAGAGCTCCCACACACAAACACGACACCACACTCAGCCAGTATCCCCTCTACACCACTGTCCACAAGCACAAGTCATGATGGCCACGACGATAGTATGTGCAGCACATTGTACAAATGGTACAAGGTGTTGGCAGTTTCTGGCTGGTTGATGGCTGTCGTTGAGTGGCCGGCGATTTTGCTCTGTGCCTGGTGTGTGGTCAGGGGTAGCAAAGCCCCAGGTAACGGCGCAGGTCCACCTCGCAATGGCGATCAGGTCAACGCCTGCTCTAGGTGGCCTTTGTCAGGTGGCAACTCGGATGGCTCAGTGATCAGTCCTTACGCTGAGGGGCGTTTTGAGGATCACGACAGCTCGGGTGTCTCGGTGATCAGCCCCTACGCTGAGGGTGGTTTTCAGGACCACCCTGATTTGCGCAGGGCCGGTTCGTCTCGCTCAGAAGCCGTCCCGTACGGCCAGGCCAAGCTTGGCGCAGCGTACGCAGCCCGCCCCCGCGCGCAGACCCACCCCGTGCCGTCCCGCCCGTACAACACCGAGCGCCCCCGTCAGACACCAAACAGGGAAAGGGCCGTCGTGGCTGGCTATGGCCAAAACGGCAGCGATAAGTCTGGTGGCAAAAACTGCTACCAGCACCCAGTCATTCTGCCCAACCAGCAGGGTGCAACAAAGGCCCCCGCCTACCAGCAGAATGCCGGCTCCGGTCTGAGCACCGACAAGGCAGCTTGCTACAACTCCCCTTCCCTGTCGGGTGCCACAAAGTCCCCCGCCTACCCGCAGAATGCCAGCGGCGCTCTGCGCTCTGACAAGGGAGCTTGCTACAACTCCCCATCTCTGGCCAGACACATCTAGACCGTACCCTGCCCTAGCCTGGTATCCAAGCCCGTGTAAGCTGCATGCCAAGGATGAAAATTGCGGGGAGGACGTAAGAGATTTGGCAGCTAAAATAGGTCTGGATACCAGGCTATCATTGTCCAGCCACAGCTCATATGACCAGCATGACCGTAGCAATGTAGTCTGCAACTCCACAGAGTCAATTACTACGAACTTGCACTGTAGTGAGCCCCATATTTAATTCTTTTACACTCTCTCCGAACAATATTTCAATTAAATTCTCCGCAAACATTGGGGGAGGGGGGCTTTAAATGTTATGGACACAGACAATAACCTTTGCCTTAAATTTGGTCTGATAAACGATTACATATTAAAAGGACCATACATATTATTTGTAGTGAATTTAAACTTTAAATGAAAGTGCCAATATGCCAAAAGAATATTTATGTAACAAAATGAAAGAGAAATGACATTGTCTGGTAATATTCTAATCTGTTTATGATGAAATTGGAAATAAAGAGGAAATGCTAAAAAAATTCTTGCTTTGTGTATATTACCTTCTTTCTACATGTTTTCATTCTTTTTCAGGTTCTCTTTTTGTTGTTGATTTTTCTTTGCTTCCCATTCATGCGTTTTATTATTAAAGCTTTGGCTAGCACTCCATATTTTTCTCTTCAGTTTTGGCTAAATTTCTGCTAAAATGTTTTCACGACTGCACAGAAATTTCTTGGTATGATAAAAAAGTTACAGAGCTAACATTTGGGGTTTTAACAAGACAACATAAGAAGTCATAGAAGCATTGTAAAATTAAATATTAGGGTTTTGTAAACGACATGGTAAACATTGCAGTTTTGAGATTGGCAGAATCATGCATAAATTCATCTCTTAAAATTCTATACAGCGCTGGTATACTGGGCTGAAAAAACAACAGAAATTTGCTATTTACTGCAAAATTTGGAAACTGAATGCATGCGGAGACTAAAGTGTATACTGCTAGTACTACAATCTCATTGAAATGTTAGCTCCTAAAACTCC